AAAAAAAAAAAAAAAAAAAAAAAAAAAAAAAGGAAGGAATCATCCTTCAACATGGATACCACTCACCGTCCATGAGCAGACACTGGGGATCTACGGCAGAAAAGTCTAACATTTACGTTACTATGTTTACCACAAGTAGTAGTCCAAGGGAGGAAGATGTCCCTCCCCTGTTCGCCTTCTGCATTTGAAGATGACGCGTATACAATCACACGCCACACAATGGTGCCCCTGTCATGACTGCCTATACCACAGTGGTTGCACAATATGATGTGATCTATCAACACTATAGCTAGCTTTGTCCCTTACATGCTCTTGTGTTAAGGAGCAGTGGCAAACATCTTGTAACCTGGGGATAATAAGCTTGAAGACAAAAGCTAAGAGGCACAAGGTAGGCAAAAGAACCTATTCCCTTATGACTGTGCTGGGTTGTTAAACCAACATTTGGGCCATTGAACTATACACCTCTTTTTGTTTTTGTGCTGTTGATTTTTGGGGTTTTTTGTTTGTTTGTTTGTTTTTGTAGTGTTGGGGATTGAATCCAGAGTCTCCCACATGGTTGGTAAGTACTCTACCACTGAGCTACTCCCTCAGCCCTGGAATTCTTTTAAACAAATGATAAACATCCTTATTAATAAACTAATATTGGATTTTCTGTTACTTGAAGCCAAAATGTTCCTAATTGATAGGGAAGTCATCCATGCTGCACCTTAAGAAATCTTCCCCATCAGGCAACCACATACCCAGGATCTTGCCAATTAAAATTCCTGACGCTGTTTGGTGATAATGTTGTTAATGACAGTTAAAATCTACTGTATTAGCAAACTTAGTAACAAGAATGTGACCTTCAGGAGTAACAGTTGGAAAATCTTTTGCAGCAGCATTCGGTAATGCAACAGTAGTTTTCCTTAGCAAAGTGGAACCCAGATTTTGCATTTGATCAGAAGAGGTTCACCAGTGCAGTGGTGATGGTGGGTCAAGGCACAGAAGCAGAATCTAAGAGCTCTGCCATACACTTGGGCACTGCCACCAGCATTTTCTCTAAGGTCTCAGGCATTATCCAAGAGAGCAGAGCCAGACAGAGTTCTGAGGAGCCCTGGGAAGCTGGTACGTCTTTGAATTCCCAAGATCCTTATCTGAAGACTCACCCCTGGGCTTTGGTTGAATTTGGGAACATCTACCTCCTTCATAGCCACTCAGGACAAGAACATATACAGCCCATTTCAGCTAAAGCCAACTGTACCCACACAATTCAAGACAATACACAAACCCAAGAAATGAAACTAGAGCAGTGTGTGTGTGTGTGTACATATGTGTGTAGGAATGCACCTTGTCTAAGACAGCACAGGCCTCATCTCCTGGGTGACTCTTTTATCAGAAGGTCACCACCTTTCCCACCAACAGGGCGTTCTAAGATATAAAGAAGGAGTTGCAGCCACCAGAAGACAGGTGAGCCCTCTCATGGGGGCTCTGCAGGGCTGGACTCCATATGCCTCTCGGCCTGGCCGTCCCCCTATTTTAAGCTGATCACTCATCTTTCTACATAGACATTTAAAAAATACTTGACTTTGTACAATACAACCCATCATTCAACCCCCTTTTTCCCATTAAGACATTATTCTGGGAACATTTCTTTGCTATTTTTAGGACCATTGATTTCTTTTTGAATCATTCTGCCTGCATTATTCGTGATGTCCTCAGACAATACTTCTGGCCTGACTTTTCTATCGACACCTAGCAAAAGCATCCTGCCGATCAGTTAGCAGAGACGCAGCGGGAGGGATGGGCTGGAGAAGGAACCTCAGCTCCTTTGGCCCCTCCTCTCCGTCCCCTGCAGAAAGAATCACTATAACAGTAATGACGCCGCCACCCTGCCTTTATGTGGAACATTGTACTTTTCAAAGAGCACGCACCTCTCAATGAAGAACAAATAATATCTTTCCAAGGGTGAGAACAGAACAGCGTGCCAAAGGAACAGTTTTTGATTGGGGTGGGGAAGGTAGGGAGGCTTTTTTTAAAAAACAGTTTCACGTCCCTCCTGAGGAAGGGAAATCTATTCATTCTGTTCGTCATCTCATTTACTTTCAGGCTTAGACCTTTTGATTATTCCATAAAGACCCATTTCAACTTGGTGAAAGTAAGGTTGAGTATGTATCTGATATAAATGGATACTTAGGTTTAACGATAAAATACATACAAGAATATTCATAGAAACTTTACTTATAATAGTTTCCAACTGAAAACAATGTAAATGTCCATCAATAGCAGAATGCATAAATAAAATATGACATAGGCACACAATGGAATAGTACACAGTGCTAAAGAGGAACAAACTCTGATAACCATATAACATCCTGTTGGGTGAAAAGCCAGACACAAAGGAGTACACGTCATGCAATTATGTGATGGTCAAGAGCAGATGAAGTGAATCTTGGGT